GGCAAGGTTGGGGAGGAAGTCAGCAAGCAAACCCGAGCCACCTCTCTAGGACATCAGATTATGAAGGGGCAGATGAGGACAGCGACTCAACAGACAAACACAGCTTGGTTTGCTCAGCTTTGAGAAAAGCAAGAGGAGAAGCATGGAATGGAATCTGCCTCTACCATTTCAATTAGTTGCTATCTGATACTTGATATTTGAGATCCACAATATGCTAAGGGAAGCTTTTGTTTCATGTTCTAATTCATTTGCCTTTTATTTTTCCATTTCACATACTAGTTCCGTATATTCACTCTCATGTGCCAAAACTGGAAATTGGAAATTTCCTGGAGCATTCAGTGGCTGAGCTCAGCTGAGGTCATCTCACGATCAATCACACGTTGACACATCTTCCCCAGTTCTAGGTCAGCTTTCTCTCCAGACACAAAATTGGGGCTTGATTCCTGCAGACTAAACTTTCAATGTCACTTTACCTTTTGGTAGTAACGTTCTGATTTCAATGTATTTCTAAAGTCATTGACTCATCTCATTCCTTCAAAACCCGTAAGAGCACAGAAAGCAGATAAGCTCATCACCATGTTAGAGATGAAGTAAAGGATAAAAACAGAAGTCTGGAAGCTCTCCAGTTTGTACAAGGCCATGTGCCTTCCTGTCCTCTTACTCTTGCAACTAAATTACCAGCAGCAGCAATGGCTTGAGTCTTGGTTTAGAAGGAGCACACTCATGTCTGCTCCAGATATACTGCAACCACAAACCAAACAGAGAAAGAGAAGTTGGCCTGCTAGCATACACCTGCAATCTTGACAGGTTGGGGCAAGAGGATCACAAGTTCATCTCAGCCTGGGAAACTCAGTGAGACCCTGTATCAAAATTAAAGAAGGCTGGGGATGTCACTCAGCATGAAGCATGTGGGTTCAATTCCCAATACTAGAGAAAAGCAGCTGATAGCAACTGTGCCTGCACCAATGAACGAGGCTGACCAGAACTCTAGCCTCAGATGTAGCATAGATTTTTCCAATTGCTTCTATGACTTCTGTGCTTATTAAATTACTTGGGAAGAACGCTTCACAAAAAGAAAGATACCTAGGTCTTCTGCTAAGCCAACTAAACTAACTCTCAAAGACTGGGTGCTGAACATTGATATTTATAAAAGTTTCCAGGTTATTTTAATATGTACCCAAGCTGAAAAAGGATGAGCAAGTAAGTTAATGCTGTCATGGATACCAAATTAAACAGGGAGTCCTTGCTCTGTGAAGACACTCTATGTAGCACCACCTCAGTAGCTAGGACCCAGCACTGAGCTTGTCCTCAAAGTCACTAACCTAGCAGCCAGTTTAATTTCTTCTCCCTTCAATACACATTCTGACTGATTCTTGCTGCTGTCCACAAGCACATGTTGAGCTGCCTCTGTCTCCTTCAGAAAGTTTCTACAGCCTCCCATTGCTCTCCCAGTGTCCATCCTGGGACCCACGTGTGCCTTAGCCCCAGAGCTGGGGCAGGTGATCAGGTCCCTGTAGAACAGCTGGTGGCATCACAGGATGATGGCAAGTCCAAGCAGGCATGGGAAGGGCGTGGAGAAGGTGCGGGTCAGAACATCTGGCTGGTGGGGGTGGGCAGGACAGCCGTTAGTGGTGAGTGAACCTGGCTCACACAGGGTTAGGATTTCACACTAGGCCTGAAGCTGGCCTTCATACCGTGGACCCCCCATTTTAGCTCCTCATTTTAGCAAGGCGATTCTCATAAGCTGTCTAGAAGAAATGCAAAGGGACACAAAAGCACATGTCACTGCCCCAGCACCCAGGCTCTTGTCACCTTCCCAGTAGCAAGCAACCCTCTGTCCAGTGCTGCATCCCTTGACTTCTGATGTTTGAGCAGACAGGATTATTTAAGAGGTCAATGTTTCTGCATGAATAGGAAAAAGATTTTATTGTTATCAATTTTACACACTTCGAGGAAGAATAATTACGAAAATGGATGTTATGGTTGTTAACTCTTGTGAAGTCATGATGCAAATATTTAACTATTAGAGGAAGAGGACAGTAGTTTGTCAGCTTCTCAACATAAGCGGGCTTCCCACCAGGCCTCTTTACGTACAGTGAGGCCATGCCTGGAAGGCGCCTGAGGGGAAGAGCGGCCCCCTGCTCCTGCACCGTCTGTCTGATTTCCAGACATGTCCCGGCTCTTTGCTTACAAGCTGCTTACACACTTGCTCCTCTCAGTCTGGTCCTTTAAACTCATTGAGAAGGTGATTTACCATCTTCTGAGGAAAGGCTTTCCTGCCATGGAAACGCATCTCATTGGTGGTCCCTAAAATAATTTTTTAAGTCACAATCTGAATGTATTATATTTACATTTCCCTCACTGGAGTACGAGATGCAGAGGTAGAACGCCGGTCTGCTTTCTCTGTGGACTGTGTGGATAGTCACTGGACTTCAGAGATGTTCCATTAAAACTGGTTAATAAGCCAGGCATAGTAGTACATGCGCATAATCCCTGAATTCTGAGAGGCTGAGGCAGGACGATTACAAGTTCAAGTCCAACCTGGACAACCTAGCAACTTAGTAAGACTCTGTTGAAAAATGAAAAAAAATACATTTTTAAGATGAAAGGCCAAGAGTGTAGCTCATTATAAAGGCCTTGGATTCTATCTCTAGTACCACAAAAAAAAAAAAAAAAAAAGCAAGTAAGCAAACCATAAAAACTGACTAAACAGAAAGCAGCAAGACAGAAGATCTAAAAGTCTGCTTTCTGTAACACTGCAGGCATAGCCGCTCTACAGCAACATTCACTGGCATACATTTGCTTTGCTTTGAAGTAAAGACATGCTGTGTTGATGTGGCTGAAAATTACAATCATGAGGACCAGCGAGACGGCTCAGCACACTAAGCGCCTGCTGAGGCGAGTGCAGGGACCAGGGTGCAATCCCTATACTGCATCCCCCACCGGTCCCACCCTTGGGCACACTGAGCCAGTGACCGAGTCTGGGCATGGTGCTGCATGCCCCAAATCTCAGCCCTTGGGAGGCTGAAAACAGGATCACTACAAGTCGGAGCCGCGTAGTGAGACCTTGTACCAAAAACATTTTAAAAAAGAAAGAAAATCACAATCATGATGGCTGTGACGCCATGAGGCCCCCAGGACACAGCACCACACCATGCCATGGGGAATTTCCACACATATGCACTTATGAAGCAGATCACTCTTGTGCACTCTTTCTCATGCAAGGTTATGGGAGCTTTCTACCAAACGTGAGCACACTTCATAGTCCTTGTCATGATGCAGAAGTTATGAGCTTCCTGTTGAGATGAGTTGCGTGGGACTGAAATGAAACGCTATCCCAACCCATCTAAATACCTATTCCTTTAAATAATATCACTATCATGCAGTTATGTCAGTGCAAGTTATTTTAGTGATGTTTCTACCACCCTGATTGTTCTGGTTCTGGAATTCCAATTCAAGGAGTTGGGACATCTGCCCAACATTAACAGTTTTCCTACTTTTCTACAAAGATGGTGTTCTTTGATGGCGTATTATCATCAGGAGTAAGGTTGGCCAGCAGGGCATATGCCGATTTCTCCTCCTCTAGAACAGGGATCTTATGATGTCTGCCAGGTGGTGGTGAGCAGGAAGGATGAGACTGGAGGTCAGAATCCAGGGGAAACCTGGACTGGCCCACACCAGCACCTTAGCACCTTGTTGCTTTAGTCAACCAAATCCATATTCTCATAACTAATACTGGGGCACAGGGACATGTTTAGTATATGTATGTCCAAAATATTACATAGGATATACTTACATTAAAATAATTAGTATTCATTATTTTTCTGAAGTCCAAATTTAACCAGGCAGATTTTATTTGCTAAAACTAGCACCTCTATCCCCTGGGGAAGTCCCCATCATGGCTTCTATTACCTGAGAAATTTCAGATTGGTCCATATTTTTATATTACTAGTGCCTAGAAATATTGACATACATTTTATATAACCACATACCTCTGGTTTTTGCATCAATAATAATTGCTTATAATTTTTCTGATTAATAACATAATGAGGCTTTCTTAAATGACTTATGTCTTCTTCTAGGACATATCAGCAATACCACCATGCATGTCTTTTGTATATCTAACACACAACAACTGCCACGATATACAATTTTTTTTTTAACAAAGTGCAGATTTGGCATTTGGCGGCTTCAGTCAATCTATCAACCTTTCTTGAGACTCAGTTTCAAATGCGACTTCGCTTGAAAATAAATTGACGATGTAAATCATTACTCATCTAAAGGTGGCCCCCTGAAGTCATTTCCTAAAACCACCTAGGATTTTGACAATTTCAACTGTTCTTTTAAAAAAAAATCTGTTCTCTATCATGACAAATGATCTAAAAATAGCTGCAATAACACAAGGACAAAGCCATCTGTCTGAGCTCTCCCAAGAGCTCATATTTCTATAGATTTTATCACTTTGCAACTGTTCTTACAAGCTCTGAAATTGAGGAAAGCTATGTCAACTTGGCAGATAAAAAAATCACTGAAATATTAGATTTCATCAATAATATTTCAATTACTTTATTCTTCATATCACAAAAGGTACAACAGAAACATGTTAAAGTAAATAGACTTTAGATGGCATTAGAACTTGTAATAATTTTTTTCAGTTGTATGAAAACATTTCAGCCAATAATCACTTGAAAAGATGCAACACTGATTAAACAGACATGACTATAAAAATGCCCATTATTCAAGTACATTGAATACAGAGAAGTTTATTTGATAATGTCATCCTTTACATTTGTTGAAAATTAACTTCTAATAGATGGAAATAATACTGGGCCACTCATGAAGGCTATCACATCAAACTTGGGTTCATTCAATCTTTTTAAGAATAAATATATATGAGAATAAAGTTATCAGTAAAATGAGTAAAGGCAACAGTTGAAAAAAAAAGATACATTTAAAGTTATTTTAAAACTTCAGTGGTCTCACAGAGGGGGAAAACTGACCTTTGAGTCACTGTTCTTCCCTGGGGTCCCAAGGTCTCCATTCAGAACAGCAGCTCTGGCAACTTCATAATCTCCTCCATGGTCCCATAAGCTCACTCCTGAATCAAAAGCAAAGAAGCCACAGTTGTCATTCTAGCTGGGAAGAGTTCAAGATCATGAGCTTATACATAAATGACACAGTGAAAATATTGGGAAGTTGAATAAGCACAAGGGACACTATAATCTATTAAGTCATGATAAGTGCAGAAGCCAATGAATTCTCTGTCTTTCTTACAGTTAAAATACTGTACTTTAAAGAAAACAAATTAAATTTTTTTTTATTCCAAGCTTGCAACGCATGCTAGGTTATTATCATAGCCAGAGTATACAATTTAAACCTTCAATAAGCAACAGAAAAGTAAAAAAAGTGATTTTGTAAAGTGACGAATTAATGCTGTATCTAAGATTAGTTCTCTATTAAAAGTCTCCAGGATTTAACCGTATTAAGACTAAATCCATTTACTTAAGTCCCAGTGAATCTGTTAAGCACAATACCAAATCTCCTCTCTGTACTTACAAAGTCTAATTTTATATGCTTCAATAAGTGATTCTATAGACAAATGAATTTGCCAGCGCAGTCTGACTAGACTGCTTTATGTAAAAAAGAGAACTCAAGTCATTCAATAAACTGTTATACGCTCTTGTTTCTTAGGGTCTTTTCTGTCAAACTAGCTGCTATACTGACACAGTTCAACTAGCTCCATTTTTATAAACAAGCCTAATGGAAAGGATAACATTTTTCTCTTCTGGAGAGTGTATCCCTTTCTTAACAAATACAGTAATTTCTCTGGGCTTGTTCTCCTATGAGGTCACATGTTTGCTATTCACTGCGACCACAGTGTGGTCCTCAAGGTAGAGGATGGACCAGATTCCCTCATATGTTATTCCCATTTCTTCAACCAGGGCTCATAATTTTCAGACCTGAGTCATAATAGCACAGTTTTAAGTTACTAAAGAGTTCACATTTATTAGGCACAAATGGTATTGAAATTTTAATCCTAGACATTTTATAATTCCCCCAATACTTTTAAATCCACACCATTTTATCATTCTCACTGTGGAAGTTTGCAGTTATGGTCAGGTTACAAAAGGATACTAGTGGAGCATTAAATGTCTGAGCCAGCCTCTCCAGAAAATTCACAAGCTGCTCACAAGGCATTCTAGAAAATTCTCAAGCTGCTCACAAGGTATCCTGTTTGTGGATGGCAGATCCAACAGGAATGAGATGAATGAACTGAAAGTTGGGAATATGGCCAGAGGTGTAAACTGGGTCTCTTGGGCATGTGGGAAGAGGGAAAGAGAGGCCCATGGTCACAGGCTGAGTGAAGAGGGTAGGGAAAGCAGTACCCTGGACCAGGATGATTTGTGAATTTATGAACCTGTATGTGGGATACAGGTTCTGCACCTGTGCCAGCTGAGGGGACATCGGTGAAGACATCAGAAGTTATAGGCATCAGTGAAATGCTGGATGGAAAGGAAAGATCAGCCATCTGGAAGTCATCGGAAGTGCCGTAGCTGCAGAGGGGCAGCTTGGGGACTTCAGTTCATGAAGTTCTTCTCATGGCTTGACTTCGTGCCTGTCAGAGTGCTCATAGGAGGTACAGTGGGGTTCGGTTGGGGTACCTGCTTCTTTGTTGGCCAACGTGTGTGCATACTCACTCACCAAGTATTTATGAACTGCCTGCCTTGGCAAGGACATGCATGTAGGTGCTCTAGATCAGAGGGCTTCCATTTAAAGGGATCATTCTGATTCAGGCCAGTACCACCTAATGTCACCTGGGGACAATGACACTTGTGCACACCATGGGAAGCCTCATCTCTTAAACAGCTTCAGCCCAGAGCGCTCAACTTTTTCAGTCCTGTACATGTAAGAGGGGTTATGCAGATAAAGTTGCACTACCCCATGACTAACATTCTTGTATTCTGGAAAAAACAACTAAACAAGTAAACAAGCTCAGGTTGGGCGTCCCTCATCTGAAATTCAGAATCTGAAATATTCCAAAATATGAAGCCTTTGGAGCAAAATATGATATCATAAGTGGGAAACTTCACATCTGACTTTTTGGGACAGATTGTATTAAAAATACAAGCATACTAAAAATGTCAGTGGTAAGGGTATATATACAAAGTTATATAAAATATAAATGAATTTTATATTTAGACTTGAGTACTATCCTGAATATATCTCATTAGGTATATGGAAACATACATAGGTGTATCTGAAGTGAGACCCAAAGAAGAGAACCATCCAACCTCCATAGAGTGCCAAGAAGAGATGCCAGCAGAGACAGGGTGAATCTGGTCCTTTTCCTGAAACTAGCCAGAGTGAGCCCTGTTCAGGGATATCTTTGGAGAAAGTGCAAGCCGGCCTCAAAGGGTGTTAATGGCATCATTCTTGAAGAGCTGCCAAGAGCTGCTCTCTTGCTCAGAGCCCCTGAGATTCACAAGTTAGCATGAGTTCTGACCCAGTCATACACTCCTGCAGAGCAAGAGTGTGAAGTGAAATTAACTGCCCTTATAAGAGAGCCGGGGTGGTGTTGGAGTTGGGTAAAGGATACTGTGAATTACTGCCAAATGGACTGAAAAGTAGAAATCCATCTAGACATCCCCCTAGATTACAGACCACTAGATCATGTGTCAAGAAGTTCACAGCCATGATGACACTCCGAGAAGTCAGGTAAAACTGTCAATAAAGCAATCTCAAACATCTTAATATCCCTCCACATAAACAAAACTGTTGAGTGATAAGCTATTCCTGGTGGATCCAAGTTAAGTTTGTAACACAAGTAAATTCTTAAATTAATCACCAACTCAGTTGTCCCAGGACCTGTTAAATTGGGCAAAGGATGATACCTAAAATAGCCATCTTGTATCCCCCACCACATATACACAGTCACAGGGGACAACACACTATCATTAGCATTCCAGCCACGGTACAAAAATGGCTGCGAGCTTTTCATTCAGGCTTCAGATGCTTGCAGGAAAGCTCTTTGCATTTTTCACAAGTGCTTGAGAAGCTAAGGAAGGAGAAGACTGTGCATGAAAGCCAGGTCTCCTATGAGGCCATTAGCATGTGTCCCTGGCAGTGAAGGAACTAGAGAGGAAGCAACTCCACCCCTTGACCTGGCAGATGCAAGGCAGCCCCCTGATTGGATGAGGCTGCTATGCAAATCAAATGTAAAGAGCGTTCTGAATCCTGGGACCAGTTCTTCCAAGGTTCTGGTGATACAGAAAAACACAGTTGCTCTGTTAAAGGCACAATATTCTAACCACTGGATATTTTCCTTTTCACCTACATATTCCAGCCCCCTAATCTGAAAGAAGACTTTTTTTTTGGCTCAAATGATTTCCTCGAAGAGGCTTTATTTCTAAATATTCCCAGGAGAATTTGAAGGCAGACAGCGCCAGCATTTGTGGGATGTTGTGTAACCCTTTTAAGAAATTGAGTAACTATTTGCTGAGCACAGTATTTATTATCTATGTACATGGATAATGAAGCCATCGCTCTGCCTTTTAATTGGTTGCACAATGTCCTCTCAGCTGTAGCTGTACTCAGAAGACTGTTTCTTATGAGTTTTGCTTGTGTATTTATACACTGGTATTTCTTTTAGATGATGCAAATAAAAATTTTATTTGTGCTGCATGGATAGACAGAATAAATTGTACACAGCTGTGAGATATCAGAATGTATTTTATGGAGTGATCTTGTTGACAAACCATAAAAGCAGGTCTTGAATGAAGCATGCATTCAGAAAATATGACCTTATAAAATATACAGTTTGCATACATTTTGTTTCTCATAATATACATATTTGGGCATGCTCAAAACTCACTATTATCTAAGTAAGGAATATAGACAACGTCTACTGGGGAAGAACTTCCAGTCCTTCTTGCTGCTGGATACCCTGACACACAATGCTTGTTGTGTTGATAAAACATCCAGTTTATACCAGTCCCAGAGTAGAAAAATGCATGGTAGAATTTTGATCTTGAACTTAATTATATTCTGTGATCATCAGCTGCACTTTCTCATCAGATCTGTGTGCCTGATTTTTTGGCCCCTCTTCATGTGAATCTGTCATTTTCAGACACGATTATGGCTGGTCAGGTGGGACATTTCAGCACAGTTATTTGGTCAAGGATCTTTATAGCAGTGGCCTTGGAGGATGGAAAAGTTGGTGGCAGATGCCCCCAAAACTGAATTAGATCTCCCATATGACTCAGAACCTATGTCTACAAAAGCCCTACTATATTCCAGGTCTAGCCACTCTGCTTTGGCCAGAAAATAAAGGGAAACACAGCAGGGAGTGGAGAGCAAGCTTGCAGCACCCTGACCCCCGCCTGAAGGTTCTTCATGGATGAAGACAAATACACTGACTCTAAAATACAAACAGTGTAAAAGGAACATGTTAGAGGTGACGTTCCCATAAAGAAAAATAATTTATTTAGTCCAGATTCACATCTTCAATCCCAATAAAATAATGGTATCACTTTTTCACCTCATTTGCATATCTATAGTGAAAATCAGTGCATAATTATAAAATAACATAGCTCAAGGATCTTCAAAAGAACTAAGGCAAAAATTAATCTGAAAAGAGTAATTATGAGGTCAGCTGATCAAGACCAATATCAACAATAAGTCATATAGGTTTTATACAATATTGAAATATGATGAGAATGCCATTTTACATCTGTAATTTTCCTCAAAATCTATAACTCAGTTCTAATCATAAGTTCCAAAAAGAATCATCCTAAAATACACCTGATGATATTCTTCAAAACTGATAATGTCATAAAAACAAAGATAGTCTAAGATACTGTCAAAAGGAGCCAAAGGAGACATGACATGTAAAATGGTATCCTGCATGGGAATGAAGAAGAAAACATACATTATGAGAAAACCAAGGAAACACAGAGAAGGTGAATAAAATATCATGCCATTCATTGTTGTAACAATTGCATACTCATGCAAGATGCTAGAAACATCTAAGAGATGTAAGTGGCATATAAGAGAAGTGGCATATAAGAGAACCATCTGTACTAGATTTTTAATGTTTATATAAATCTAAAGCTGCTTTAAAGGAGACATTGCTAGTACTTTTAAAATTTTATCTCAATCTTGGAAAAATAATCATGCCATTCTAGAACAGTTTCATGTCAAAAAGCTGAGAGATGGGTGTGTATCACTAGGTGTCCAGATATCAGTAAATTGGAACACTTCACATTCATCTCTCTTTCAACATTGCTGAATCTTCAGGTGGAAAGGAGATTCAGTGACCACAACCAAGCATAGTGGGCTTCTGGAGTTTAAAAGGTAGAGGTACAGAAGCACAGCTGATCCTCAACAATTGGAAGGTCCTTCAAGTACTCAAGGGAACTCTACAGAACATAGAAACAGCTTCAAGCTCTGAGATATTCAAGAAGTCAAAGGGAGAACCATTCCCTGGGCTAGAGCAATGACATGGAGTGACTGTCACATCAACATCCTGAAAAAACAGAATCCAGATTCTCTGAGATCCTAAGGTTGGGATTGCCCACATAGGCAGCCTATACTGTATCAAGATACAGCTAGTGAAAGAGAGCCAGTCATAAAATTCTGAGTAAGAAGACATGGTCCATGCCTAACACACTACTCTGTGCATAATCTTGGGCAAGTTATATGCATTCTTTGGTACTCATATCCTGGAAAGTCATGCAAGACTATGGACCACGATCCATCCCAGAGGGCTAGAAAGAGGACTAAGAGAAATCATGGATGCAGAACTGTACCTGCACATCATTTGGTTTTAGCTTTTTGTTTTTGTGTGTTTTTGAATCAGTATTTGGAAAGAAACCAAAATGTCCTTGCTGGTCTTTGAGTTTGGGGGCTTGTTGAAGAGACAAAACATCCAACACCCAGAAGTTAAGGGAAGAAAGGTCTATTTAGCTCACAGATTGTGGAAGTTTCATTCCATAATTGGCTGGCTCCAAGGCAGGGGGGCATGGAACAGGAGCAGCAGTTCATGGCAGACAGTAGCCAAGCAACACGGGACCTTATTAGCATCTTTTATCTCCTTCACCTTATCCAGGTTACTTAGAGCAGGTAGCACTAGGGCCCTTGATCCCAGCATTGCACCATGAAAATCCCAGCATCACATTCTATATCCAGCCACCTATGATTGCATAAGGCTTCATGGGCTGGGGGTGGGGGGACATCTAGACACAAGCCATAACAGTTTGTATTTGTTTTTTATATAATCAGCACATATTACTTTTATTAAGAAAAATAAACTTTGAAAAAACAATTATTTTGACTCATGAGGACAAGGCAGCAGTGCCTGGTACTCGAGCCACATAGCCTTGGGCATGTTAGAGAACAGAGCCCATTTGGAAATAAAAGCAATCAAGTACTATGGAACAATTACAATTTTGAAAAGATGTTTTATA